ATGGGTTTCTAAGTAACCTATGGCTAAACATAGACTTCGTTATTTCAGAGTCAGACTGTGTACTTCGTTTTGCTTCATCCATCATCTGATGGCTTCTGGAGAATTTAAATGCTTGCACACCTTTCTGTAACCTTTGGGCTAGCCATAAAACATCCCAATATGGATTCTCATAAAAACAGAAGTTACATGGAACCTTTATGCTAACAGATTTATTTCAATGCAAGCTTTCATAGACTAAAATCCATTGCCTCTGTGTTTAAGAGGGAGAGTAAAGCACAAAAGCTCACAATGTAATAAACCAGTTAGTGCTACAAGGTTTGTTGCTTGCTACTGCTTTTGCTATACTAATGTGGCTATCTGATTGCAAATTGCTGCTAATGGATCTCTGAATTCTTCTTATGCCCAACTACCTTTCCTTTCAGGCTAAAGGAAATTCCTTTAAAAAAACATGATCACAAGGAAAGCGGAAATGTCCATAAACTTGAAAGAGACCTGCTCAACCTTCCATCCGTCAAAGAACAGGAATTAAAATACTTTAATATATTGACATGTTCTAAACAATAACACTCTTGTCTTGTATTTAACACAGGGATCTCATCAAATTTATGGTAACAGTGGCCAGAGTAGTTTATGGTACATACTGAAAGCTAGTCAGCTCCCTTACTAATAAAAGAGGAGTGTCTAGGCAAAGTGTGGGGAATATCTTGTGATGGATAAAACAATATTTTATCAGACATCACAAGGAAAGAGGTAAAGACAGAACATTCCACAGCAATACTATATATGCAAGACATTTGCAAGCAAAAGTGTGTTTTAAATTGATATAACTGTTTGGTTTACTCTTGTATGAACAAATATAAGCAATAAAACTAATTAAACATACAAACACATTTTATTTAGCTAAATCTCCAAATAAAATCAATGTCTTATTTAATTAGGAAACCATGAAGGACACATAATCAACATACAGGAAAAAAAGCTCGCCTGGATCCACCATAATGAAAAGAATCTAATTCAAAAATATTGCATTTATTGTCTGTCTTTCAAAGGCAGATATTGATCCACAAAGTAGATTATTGCTACAATGTGTTTAAAACACCCCTGAAGTATAATTTTTTTACTTTTACAATTTTTTTTAAATTGAAGTATAAACGTTCTCCAGTTCTTCATTATGTTGAGAAGTTATGAGAACTAGTTTTTAAAATGTGATGCATGTAGAAGTATAATAGCAAACCTGCTTGTTTTTCAAGCGCTGAATTCCTTCAGCCATGAACTGAAGACGTATGCACTAACTCTAAATCCCCAGTGTACAAAAACACTTACGTCAGACACACTCTCATGCCTCCTTTCACATAACATTAAAAGGTATCTAAGTACTTTTCTCATGCATATTAAAAATGCATCCTTCCCTTAAGGAAAAAAAACACACAGTTAAAATGCTAGCATTCCTGTTGCCTAGTGACCAAAAAAGGATGCTATATCAATCAACACTAATGAAACCTTTAATAGCTACTGATGCCATGCTCTACATTCAATGCTGTTTTAAAAATTGTGGTACATCTGAACATTTGCGTGAAAAATAGATTTCACCAGTTCATCTTGTTTCTAAGTTCACCAAATTAGTCACCGTTCTCTGGCATCACAATTGGCTTCTGTGGAAACTGGCACAAGAGCTATTAGATAGGACAAAGTTTCCATGTTCTTCTCACTGGAAATAAGATTTTCCTATAACCTACAGCGAAGCACTGGTGTTGGTTGAATCATTCTAGACTCCACATGTAACTCAATCACATTCTTCACTGCAGTATATTCACCAATTTGAAAAGGTACAACTAATGAATCCTAAGTATTTATGAGGAGGCACATAAGAGAAGAAGGGGTGTATTTGAAGGAAACAGAAATTGGAAGGTCAACAGCTGTTTAGAGTGGGTCGTAGTGAAAGCAGCAGGGCATAACTACCAGAGAGAGACAAAACAGGTGCTGAGCAAATTACTGCCCCCAGTTAATTTTTGTTTCAGATTCATATCACCCTGGACTTCCTGGACTACAATCCTCCAAGCCTCCCTTATCTCATTCATCTACAAGTTTCAGTTGTTTCCTTCAGCTTCTCTAACTTCAGCCCCTTCACTGAGATATCACAATGTAGTTGCACCATAAATGATCGAGAGACAAAACAGGTGCTGAGCAAATTACTGCCCCCAGTTAATTTTTGTTTCAGATTCATATCACCCTGGACTTCCTGGACTACAATCCTCCAAGCCTCCCTTATCTCATTCATCTACAAGTTTCAGTTGTTTCCTTCAGCTTCTCTAACTTCAGCCCCTTCACTGAGATATCACAACGTAGTTGCACCATAAATGATGATTAAATGGGTGTAGTCCAAAGTACTGAAGTATTTATCTTCTGATATTCAAGTAGATCTACTAGTACTGCTACTTTTCTCCCCCCTCCCCAATGACCTAAAGCTAGAAAACAAAATCACATAGCTGTGGTTCAACAACCAAGCTATCAAATCATCTACCTTCTACAATTCTTTGGTTTGAAGAACTGGATCTATCTGCTATCTGATCTACATTCACCACTCTCACTACTGTCTTGCCAGGGATGGCAGAAGGCAGACCTGAATGTACAGGTAAAATTCTAAGAATCTTTATATGATTTCTGATTTAATGGCAGTGGCAGTAAAATGAAGCCCTCACCGTTCGATACTGGTGAAATCAAGAATGTTTAAATAAGTAGATCTGTTGAGTAGAAAGCCTGTGAGCTTCTAGGCTTGGCTTTATTTAATGCAGAGGACATGCCTTTCACATGAGTCTGTGGCTGATGTATCTCAGGGTTTTAGTGACAACCACGGCAGATCCTGCAAGCCTTACATACTGTATGCCTTAGACTTTGTACACTGCCACATAGCTTCACATGGCTTTGTGCGGTTGGTTAAACAATCTCGGGAATGTTTCAACAGATTCTGGCAGATCTGTTGAAGCAATGAAATCTTCTTTCATTTGTAATTTTTTTTAAAATGTGTAAGAAGTAGGAATATGCAGGAAACACACTAACCAATATGGCAGTCTGATCAGTACGTTAAAGCCAAGCCTCCCTTAACCTCAGCCCATGCTGCCCCACTATAATGTCACACTGTTTCAATGATAGCAGAAGTCACAATCAGCAGAATCCACCTTTTGTTGAAATATAGAGCAGCAAATCTGCTAAACCAAGCTTTCAAATTCCGAGTTTCCTTTTCTTCCTTAACTTTATCATCTAAACTCCTTTTTCCTGTTCATATAGTCCATCTTTCTTCACATTCCCCTCAAGTAGCTCTTGCTTTTTTAAAAATAATTGCTTAGAAGTAGAATAAACTGTCTTCTCTGTTAATTTCTCTTTCTCTCTACCCCAGCTTAGAACCATTCCCCAGTGCTGTGAAATTTCTTCAGAGAATTCTTTCACCTCCATTTCCTAATTCCTTTGTAGTCTCTCATGTCTGGCCTTCAACGCTAGACTCCTAGAGAATTCAAAAGAGTTACCATCTCCACTTTAGACTACTTCTGAAGAGCGTTCAGAAACCCAGTTGGTTCAGAATGCAGAAAAAGAGATTGGCCAGGGCCAGTTCGAGACATTGTAGGACATGAATCTCATGTTACATGGCTGAACTGGTTTCTGTTTCCAAGCACAATTCAGAGTACTAGTTATCTTTTTAAAAAAAACCAGTATCACCAGTCTGAAGAAATGGACCTATCCACAAGAGCTCACATTAAAACATAGCACCTAGTCTTTATGGTGTCACAGCATTTTTGTCTTTTTAAAAAAGATTTATTTTTCTTTTGTTTTGGCCAATATCACCAGGTTATTCGAGAGCAAGTTATTTGAAAGTGCACTCCTCATACAAGCTAGCCTGGGCTAATCCTCTGGAGAAAATGTATCTGTCATAGCAATGTCTGAAGCACACACATACAGCAAAAACTGAACAGATGATCTTCCGTGTGGCTGCTCTCAAACTCTTGCACACAGTAGGCCTGGTAAGGGATTTCTCCAACATCACCAACCAAAAGACAAAAATGGCAAGCCTCTGACCATATGTTGACCATAATTTACTTTCTTTGCATGATTTTTACTTGTTTTCTACTGCTTTTTCAGTGGAACTGCATGGCAAACACCCACACAAACACCTTGCCCAAGAAGGGGTATGTGTGACTGGTTCACAGCTGTCAGAAATCTGAAGGTGCAAGTTTTTTCCCCCAGAGCCATCTCAGAACTTAATTTTTCCAATACACTGGTAATAAGCAGCTATAGCCTCCTACACTCAATTGTTTGTCCCTTCTAGAGTAAATGAACTGAATTAATGAGACTTATGTAAGTGTTGAAGTATCAGAGTCCCAAACGATTCAATGTTCTACTCTAGCTGTGACTAATAATTGGATTTAGGCTTTATTTAAGCTACTGAACATCCAGATATTAGTCTTTTCTAAATCGATGTCTGAAATAATGGTTATTTTGGAGAGGTCTACACAGACTGAAGTTGAAATCAGAAGTAATGCACAAACTCCTCCTGGAACTTGGGAGATGTCTTGGAAAACTTTGGAGGACTTGGAAATTTTTCATCGCCCATGATAAATTTGCAACCTCCAGAACAGAGCAGGTTTTGAGTCTGTGAGTTATTTAGATCCAGATCTGACTTTTGATAAGCAGGTGCCACTGTATCTTTCTGACACTTGCTGAGCAAACTCTTCACTTTCCTGGGCTGAGGGTCTTTCAACACCACCCCATTCATTTGTGGCGTCTGACTCTTGAAGACAACTCAGAGTCAGCAAACTGTAGCAGTTGTTACATGCCTTCTTATGAATTTGGATGTGATGCATGATCCAGTCCAACCTCCTTCTGCAGCTCTGGCTGCCAATACGCTTGTAGGAATAATTCAAGGCACTGGTGCTGATTTTAATTTTAAACAAACACTTTGTGCACACGGAAGAAATGACTGCTTGAAAGTCTATTGCCAGTATACTTACATTGTAAGAATAAGGCTCCCCTTCTTCCATAGGTTCATCCACCACTTTAATGCCATTCAACTACAGAAAGAAAACAATAATGGGATTAAAGAGAAATCATGAATAATCACAACACACTTGCAGCTCATGTTCACTGGTCATCCAAAAATCTGAACAGCTTGAACCCAATCCCTCAAACAGCTACCAGCATGATTAGCCATTTCTGTGCAATTTCAAGAAATGTTTCAGAAAATTTATTGAGCTCAGCATTTCTTATTAATGTCAACAGGAAACAAGTGCCTGGCAGCATTTCTAAAGATCAGATTTAAATTGTATCTAAATATCTGTGATCCTCCCAAGTAAGACTGGATAGAATGGTACTGGTGAGTTTTTGCTTAGAAGGAGGGACATCTCTAGCTTCATACTATCAACTAACTGCCAATCTAAATATTCTGCTAAATATATTATTGTATTTAAATACACCTTTAAAAAGCAGTAAGGTTAAAACAGGATGAAAACCACAGCATGCAACGGGAGAGGCAGTAGTTCCCCAAGGTCATGATGAATATCATACACTGTCTTTTATGAAGAAGCTTAACTATTGATGTCAGTAACAGCCCCTGCCCCCAATCTTGATTCATCTCGCTCCAGGCTGCTCTCTGCTCTCAATCTTACTCTCTTCTTAAATAAAATGTTAAATGTGATCATATATTCAAATGTTAAATGGTAAGTCTGACCCTCAGTGCACTTCTCCCAATGTGCTTTTGTCCTGCCCATACATTGATAATAACTCTTCAAACTGATATGCGATAAGAGTAGAAACACCACAGACCATAATTAGCAAACTAACAAGGGGAAATGTGCGTTCTTACTTGTATGTGTGTGTGTGTGTGTGTGTGCGCACACACACGCGCACACGCACGCACGCACGCACGCACACACACACACACACACAATTTAAAGCCAGTAAATAACAGATACAAATTCTGTAATGCAAAAAGCCTATGGCTGAATGATCAGATATTTTAAACCAGAATGGGAAAAATATTGCTATAATGTATCTCTCATTGTTTAGCAGTGGATATACTGGCTAGCTCTGAGGGAAGCTACATCCCAACAACATATTCGGCCACTTTGGTTTTGCATTATATTTCTGGGAATATCAAATTTCAAATGATATAACATTTGATCTATACAAAGGCTTTACATTATGTCCAATAAGTATGTTTTATTTATGACACCTACAGTTATTATTGTGATATTGATTTCTTCAAAAAGGAAGGAAGGAAGGAAGGAAGGAAGGAAGGAAGGAAGGAGTTTGAAAAAGATTTTAATCAATTTTTAAAATGTCCTTGATTCATCAGTTGAGCCACCCTACTTATAGCATTTAGTTATTTAATGAAAATATCTAAAAAAATTGGAGCTGTCTGCTATTGTTCAAACAACACGAAGGTAAGTGTTTTAAAGTTTAATAAGTTGATTTTAATCGCTGGTTACCCTCCCAGGGTTTTCAAGGGATAACGTACTTCTAGCCGTGCTTTGGGATCATGCATCTTGCCCAACACCACACAGGTAACAGGGCATACTGCCCATTCAGCCTCACAACCTCCGGCTTAACCTTGGCTGGACCCTTTTATTTGAAGTCCTGGACCCTTGCTCTGAAGCCAGGCAGTTCAACCCACTCAGGGGAAAAAAAAAACAGAAAAAAACTCTATTCTTGTAAAACAGAATTTAGCAAAAGCAAAAACACTCTTATACTCAAGAAGGCTTGTTGCAAAACTACCTGACTGATGACTGGGCATATAGCTAGCAGTCTCCACCTAAATATAATTCTACCACTATCAGCTTGTTCAATAAGCAGCTTTTATATACTACACAATGTATATGCCTCGTCCACTTTTCTTCTAAATTTCAAACTAGGGGTTGAATTTGGTTAGTAACTGAACCTAAGGAACAAGGATAGTCTTGCCTGAACAAGTAGAACGGCATTAATTTAAAACAGGAAAAACCTGGTAAAAACTGGAAAAACTTGGAAAGGATAATTCAGTAACAAGTTATTATCATAACCTCTTTATCATCCTATATACAGACACACCCACAACACTTCCTGAGAAATGAATTACAGAAATAGATGTTTTGATAATAAAGAACAGAATTTATAGGCCACTTTATAGCAGAGCTTTTAGGGCAGTTGACAAGAAATAAGCCAATAAATTCAACAGCAATTACAGCCCAATGAATATAAAAAGCACAATTCCAGAGAATAAAAACAGCTTAAAGCTAAAACAGATTTAAATACTGGGATGGAGTTGAAAGACTTCCCTAGTTTCAAAACAACAAATTAGGTGCCAGAAAGCCTCTCTGGGCAGCCATTTCAGTGTTGAGATATCTGAAAATTGCAGTCCTGATGGCCATGGTGGGACAAGTGTCAGCAATTTTTGGACAAATTTAAGTAGCGACATTTAATAGACATTTAAATAGGGACTCCCCTATCCCACTGTCTCCAAAGGTGCCTCAAAACCAAAGGGAACATAGGAGTGGAAAACCTTTATTAACAAAATATGGGATGGGACTAATGATACCATCACACTGAAGTGGCATAAAGTTTACATTACTGAATTTCAGCCATTATGTGCAATGTTTTATAAGTGAGGATTGGAACATCCTCATTCCATCAAGTACACCATCCCTTTGTTTTGTATACTCCAAAGGTGTTCACACTATGCTCCATTCACACAATTAGCAAAGCCTCCTTAAAATATTTTGGTGTTCCTACATTTGGCCAAAGGTGTCCACAAGCTAAATTCAGCCAACACATGGACCTATCACAACTTTAACTGAGGCAGCAGAACAAGCCTGGGTGAAGGGCGGGTGGGATGAACCTCCCAGGTAAGATTAGTAAGCTGGATAGGAAGATACTTATGGTGCAGCGGATAAACTACAGTGCTGCAGCCAAAATTCTGCTCACAACTCATGTTCAATCGCAGGTGGCCAGCTAGAGGTTTACTCAGCCTTCCATCTTTCTGAGGTCGGAAAATTGAGTACCCAGCTTGGGGGAAGGGATGTGAAGCCTGCGTAATTAAATTATAAACCACCCAGAGAGTTCTTGAAGCACTTTGGGACCATATATAAGCAGCATACTTTATTCAACTTTGACAGATGTACCCAATGCTACCCATCCTCAGCAATCATATTAGAGGAGAGGGGGAAACTGTGTTTCCTCCAACTCTTACGACTTTGGTCCTAGGATTTAGCATTTCTGCTCGATAAATGTGTATCATGTTTTCCATATTTTGTTCAGTACTACCAGAACTGGAATAACTTCAGAAGCTTTAGAAATTAATTCTTATTGAAAAAAAGCCGTATGTGTTCACTGCCTTTTGTATTGGAACTCCAGGGACCCTGGTTGCCCTAATAAAACTTCACAATCTCAACAATGACTTAAAATTACTAATCAACACAGACAATAGAGTACTCTTATATACCACATCCACCGTTTGATTATTCTTTTGCAGAGAATCTTGATTTTGAAACACTATTCAGTCAAAGAAAAGAGAAAATTAAGTGGCTTCATCAACAAACAGTTAAGTGGCAAAACTCACTGTACCTACTAGCTTGCATAAGGCAATTAAATATTTTCCTAGAATCAAATAGCTTTGTGCAGCTGTTACCTAACTCAATCATGAAAGCAGCAGCAGCTTATTCAAATAGTTATTATTTGTTACTACTTTTTAAATTATATATTCAGTACACACGGAGTTTCTTCTGACACAGCAAGTAATCTTCAATTGCTAATCTTAAAATTGTAACTCAACTGATGTGCCAGTTCCAAATAAAACGCATTTCCAACAAACTGAAAATTAATGGCAAATCCTTGTGAATGGGAAAACTAACAAGAGGCTAGTAAAAACTAATAGTAGCGTGGAAGACAAACAGCTCTTCAGCATAATCAAAAACATTTTCCCCATGCCAGAGACCAAATAATTACATAAAATGAAGATACTATCTGTACCCAGACAAGTTTTAAATCTCATTTTGCATCAACAGATGTAAACATTCAGCATGTCGCTGCTTCATTCCTACCCTATGAAATGAAAAGAGAGCAGTTTTTAGTCTAAACACATGCTGCCGTAACTTTAATAGATTTCAAGACAGAATCATGAGCACACCACACTAATTTTCAAAAATACGCCAACACTTTGTCAGATTTACTGAAATCGCAGCTGGAAGCATATAAAAAGGCATCTCGCGTTGCAGCCCTATGCACATTTACTTAGGAGAACTCTGTCATTGAACACAGTGGGCTCACTTTTGAACAGAAGTTGCATTCAGTGTGACCTTTAAAAGCTACCAATTGGGCAAATCTCCTTGCCTGGTAATCTTCTCTCACTATAAGCTACCAGGCAAGTGTCTATTTACAAGCTGAACATTCATGCATTAATACATATGGGTCACAGCCTATTGAGTGGTTTGTAATTTATGAAAATTCATACTACCATAAATCTGTAAGTGTTAAAACACCAGAAGACCTGTGCTCTTGAGGTTGTCGTACTTATTGAAACACACTAATATGCCTGCCTCTTTGAAAATTGTTGCCTGGTCATCTACAGAGAGTAAGAAATATCCGTAGGAAAACATGAAGTCATAGGCTTGTAGAGCTGGAAGGGATCCCAAGAACTATAGGTCTACCCTGAAGAGACTGTTACCCAACCTGCTTAAAAGACCCAGCTTCCTCAAAAGTCCGTCTCTTAGGGCTTGGTTTCCAGACCTTCTATCATATTGGTTGTAGTCTGAAATACAAATTGGTGATTTTAAGGAGATGGAGTTCTATCCAGAAAGCACATTTAAGATTCAGAAGCTTGATTATGGCATCCTTTTACCCTTCAATATACAATGCTATGGAACTAGGTTCTACATATTTTAAATGCTGTCAGCAGCTTATTAAAGCAGCAAATCTGGAATTACTTATTTTTTTACTCTCCGTATATTTATGCAATCCCAGTGGGAAACAAAGCTGGTATCTGAGAAGAAACCATCAACTGAAGCTACATAATGGGCAAAATCTTGCTGAATAATTTTGTGCC